AAGTCGTGGGTCACTCTCTCAAAGTACTTTGAGATAAAAAGTATTATATAGACTCATGGCATTCTGATTGTTAATTGTTTTTCTAGTTTCCTCTTAGCCTGATAACTGTTCTTTTGAAGTAAGTAACCAAGGAATTGGAAGCTCTTCTTGTAGTTTTCTAGTTGCGTTTATTTTGGAAATACATTTTTAGGGCATTTGTTCTTTTTGTCGCTGTTGCTGCTGCTGCAAACTTCATCTATTAGATTTAGGTTTTAGGACATTTGCAAAAAAAACAACCATACATTTACACATAAAGCATAATGGATGCTGTGTTTTAAATGCCAAAGAGCTTGTAAATTCTGCAGCTCTTTGTTGTGTATTCCTCCAGTATTTCAATATACTTTACCAACTATTCTGATCTTCCATCTGGAGGAGTCTCCTTACAGGTGTAACTAACCTGTATTTGCCTTATGAATCCAGCTATGTTTACCATAAAATAGTCTTCTGGTCTCTATTTTGTGGCTAACCTGGTTTTTATTTACGTGTCCTCTAGCTACCACAAATGTGATCCTCTTTGTGAATACAGATTTCTATTAGACTATGTTGCTACAGTCTTGTCTGATAAGCCACATACTGCTATGTTGTCTTTGGCATTCCCTTTCTTTTTCATCATTTCTTTTCCTCTGTTTGGTTTTCCTTTATCTCTGCCTTTCCTGTTAGAACTACTTAAATCGATATTTATAACATTTTGTTGGCCAGTGTGCTTCAGTTTTCAAAATCTAGGTAGGCCAAGTGTTCTCAAATGCGCCTTAATTTCTTTGACTCTAAGTAGAACAACAAGGAGATTATTTTAGTACAACAATACGCGTGTGACTGTGTGCTTGTGTTTGCACAGTGGTTGAATGTTTATGTGGTGTTCAGTACAAACTCACAACCTGATGTATCCTTCTGGGGCATTTGGCCAGTGAAATTAGACAACAGGTCTATCACAGAGCATCTTACCGGGGAAATTCTCCAATAATATGATTTCATGAGCAATCCACATGCATCTTCCTTTCTTAAAGGTTGTCCACCTGTATCACACTGAATCTTTATCCCTGTACAGCAACACTTTGTGGGTTTGGGCAGAATCCGAGTGTCTTTCACAGGTTCCAGGACTTCATGTTGTGCACTATCTCCCCCAAGAGGATGAGACCCTATACTGCATCGTATTTCCTGATCAAGAGAACAGTCCACACTGAGCCAGCCTTCAGTTCTGTACTTAAGGAATTTGTAAAATACCCTTTATTTCAAAATGAAGGAGACAACAAACATATTTTAGCATAAATAGCCCTAATAAAAGCTATACGCTACAGAATTAATAAATGACTAACAAAACAATACAATTTCACTGCAGCTACAACACAGGTCTAATAAATAAATCCACAGCACACAAAGAGACACTAAGACAGTACACAAAGAGAGACAGTCATGTGGCAGAAGCCACTCTGACAGGAATCTCCATTAAAATGCCCTTATAGCCTCTGCATGTCTGACTGGAGTCTGTGGTTTTGGCTTCAGTGTTAGATGATGATTTAAGAGCATTGGTACATAACGAAAGTATGTTTTCTGGCACTTAATGACTAAATTTACACACACAATGTTATGCAAAAAAAATGAAAGAGATGGTAATAAAACCCTCCAGAAATACATGATGCATAACATTTAAGAATTCGGTGCTTTTGAGTAGAGGAAATGTTCACTGGTTTTTGAAATGAGCAAATATTAATTGACAACAATAATGTATATGTACAGTATAACAGGTATTAAAAATTCTCTTTCAAGGGAAGATGACCGTTAATATTTCTCTAAAGACGAAGCGAAAACTAAATTTTTGCATGTTTCAGTAGGAGAGTTCTCACGATTTCTTGTGTGGGTAGATACTGTATGTGGTTTTCTCTTCAGCAGGCTGATCTCTGCCTTACCCTTGCTCTCAGGACTCTGCCTTCCTTTAACTGCAGTGTCTGAGCTCTGTTTTAGCTCTGTAGAATAGGGGTTTTCTAGGGGCTGCTAAACTCGAGGGAGTTTGGGACAGAAGTTGTGGAGGAAGATTAGATGATAATATCACTATTGCCGATATATGCGCTCGCCTGTGTGTGTACAGTATGTTTCACACCCAGGATCTCCCTTTGCCTTTTTTCTCTCACGTTCCCTCACCTCCTCATCTACAAAATAAGACTAAAATAAGAAGTCAGGCACTGAAGATGCAGCCAAACCTAATTCATACAGTAGCTTTTTAACTTCAAGACAAACTTTTATACTCCTCACAAGAAAAGCCTGTGGGAATTATATCATATGCACAGTTGTATGCCTTTTATTACTTAATGCTAATGGCATCAATAAAAGAGATTACAGATTTACAGATCTAGGACATTTGTATCACAGTTATTTCTAGGAAGATGGTATTTGCCAGTTGGAGGGGAATGTTTTATTTCATCACTTTTATGTCTCGATAGGGGTGAGAAGACAACTGAGCTCTCAATGTAGCCCTTGTTTTTTAACATGCCCTCGTAAAGTGTTTGTTATAAAAACATTTTTTTGGGGGGGGAACTAGGGAATTCTGATGTCACCAGTCAGAGAAAGTGCCAGAGTGTGCTGCTCCTGAAGCACAGACGACATTCTGCGTGAAACGTGGTTCTAGACTTTTTTGAGACAAGTTCTATGGCCTGCCCTTGGACACCCATCTTACCTGGATCATGACTAGAACACCTGAAACACCGACTGTAGTATTTCGTACAGACCTGTCCACTGCTAAAGATTTAAAAGCAGTAATTGAACAAGAACATGATTCAGCTTCGCTTGACAGACTTCGGAGTGTATTGCAAAATGTGACTGTATGCTGGCAGAATGTTTTTAAAAAAAGGAAGATGGAGGAGAATAAAAACATTTTGATGTACAGTATGAACTCCCAAAGGAGCTTCCCATGAGATTCCCGTCATGTTGGCATGTTGGTGTCTCTGTCTCCTGGCTATTTCTCTCGGCATGACTTGCACCCCGTCCACAGTAACAGCAGTCACGTGATCTCAGTCCCATCTTGCACACTACTCAATGCACCTCTGCACGACGATCTTTTGACTTGAGCTACCGTTTTTTCCACTACCATATATTTGTTGTTCTCCACAACATATTGACAACGTAATGTCTACATTGAGTGGTGTTCTGTGCTGCACTGTGTCTGTCCCGAGAGATCGGCGTGAATAAATTTCAAAATAAATAAATTCCACTGTGCATGAATATATGACCGTAAACTCCTCTACCTCTGCATTCTGAATCCAGCACAAGCTCCAGGTTTCTGCAGCAATCACCAAGACGAGTGGCTCGCTTAGGTTATTCAGGAACTGTGTGCAGCAGTTGGATTCATTAAAACAGTCTACAGGACATGGTAAATGCTCTGTTGTTTAGTGCTCTAATTATGCTAATGCTGATTAATGCTCTTTTATTTTTTTTTAATAAAAACTGTGTATTGTTCATAGAAACATTGGTGGTCACAGAAGCTTAAAAATAGCCATCCTTAAATAATGCTTAAATTGGGGAATTTATTTGAGATTTTGTTTAGATGAGTTTTTAGTTTAAGCCCAACTATGGTCCAAGTCAGCTCTGCATGTCCGGATCGATTTGAAAAGCTCGGCAGTGTTAGTAGTTACACGTTATATCCTATCAATGAATATTATAATTAGCCAAATTACTTATACTGTAGTCAGTCCTCATTATCTGAAAGAAAATGGATATGTCAGCCAGGAGAATTTTAACAGGCCTGATAATTAAGACATGAAGTTGAAGTGAAGTTGAAGTGAATGTATACTGCCTTTTCTGTGTTCTGTGTTAACATGAGGAAAGGTGCATTATTAGTTTAGTAAATGTTTAGTTTAATGGTACAAGCCCAAAACAATTTAAAAGAGTCTTTCCTCAGTGACTGGCAAAGTCCACACAGATTCCAACTATTAATTCAAATCAGTTAAGCAGGTTGACCATCTGAAATAAATACATTCGTCCCTTCTGTGTGCCGCAGTTGCTGCAGTACTTGAACAAAGAATTATCGCTGATAAAAAGGGAATTGATTTCACCAGCTGGTTTGGTAAATAAAACCACAATTGCGGGTCCTTTTGGAAAGCACTTTGATTGATGAGGCAGTCCGTCTTCATTATTAACGTCTTACTCTGGAAATCAGCCCCTCCACAAATACGCATTCATCTTACCAGCTGATGATAAAAAGGCATATGAGAGAAAATCGGGGGGGAGGAATAGAAAAAATAAAAAAATATTTCTTGCGTTAGTTCATTGTGTTTAAGACCCTAGATTTATTTACCCTAGTTATTGGCTAGGGATGGATGATTGGATTTTATAGTGGTTCATAACTCTACATACAAATACGTATGGAAATTTAAGTGCACTGTGGTGTGTGAACAATCATTAGCCTCACATACTGTATATGTATCTGATCATGAACATTTTCTGTGCATTGGAATTGTTTAATACATAGCTCTTTGTGAAAGAGGCGTCCTTTGAAAGCCACTGTATAAAACAAAGTTGGATGGATGGACTTTTCACCTATAGTTATCATGTAAAAAACTGAACGTGCTGGTAGCAGTATCAACTTGAAGGATGATGCATTCATCACATGAGCACAGATTCCGAGGTTCCCCCGTTCAAACGCCATTCGGGTGGTAAGAAAACTCTTGAAACCGGGGCGATATCTGTTAAAAAATGTGAGTTCCAAGCAAAAGAAACTACAGCCAAGGATATCAAAAAGAACCCTCAAAATAAACTGAGAAGTCGCAAATATTCTTCATTCCAAATTTTCTTATTCTCAATAATAAGTATGGAAAGCAATGCTAAGACTGGTCATTAAGCTAAAAATAGAGAAAGATATATTTTGATTTAAAATGACAGCAGGCAGCCTGAGGTTTTTGAAAACTGCTGTTTGTCCCACATCAAGATCAGCCTTGTAAGTTTGTCAGTCATCTCTTTTCTTCCTCCAACAGCAGCTGCAATACGGCAATGCTGTAGTCCCACATCTAATAATAGAACTGGAACAACAGGAGGCCACAATCATCTGTGTGTAATTTGACGTGGATACATAGTTGAGCAGAAGAAGACAGGAAGATGGAAATCAGCACATGGCTGCAATTCCAGGTTAGAATATTCCACCTTATTCCATCTTAACTGAAAACCCATATAAATGTTTGTTTACAGGGTCCCTGCCAACACCCACAAGTTCCATTTATTTTAATGAAAGTGCTTGATGTCGGCAGTGGAAGATGAACTGGTTGGTCAAGAGGTACTTATATACACGTACTATTCATAGACCCAATACATGGTAAATGTGTAAAACAAACCATAAGCATACAGTATACAGTACATGTATATTCAGTACAATACACATCTTCTACATATATAAAACCCTTCTCTGTTTCAATTATATAATTGCAAGCAGACATATTCTGATTAATCATCCATTTCCTGATCACGTTGATACTGAACAGGGTACAGTATATGACAAGATGCATGAAGTGCAATTGGTTTAGGTATAATCACAAATTGTAGAGAGTGAACAGAAATAGTGTCTTTAATGACATATGCACCCATGAGGCACTTGCTCCCCCATGGCAGAGAATGGAAATGTTCTGGGAATATATGTTTTTTCATTTTCAGGATTTGAAACTTCAGCCAAACTTTCCACGTTTGATCGAGTAACACGCCACAAACAGCAAAACTGCGCTGTTCAAGGATGCCAACTTATGTTTTCTATATTTGCATTTTTTTGTGTGCATTTCTCATTTCCAACTCAAACAACCCAAAGACGCCCCCCCACAGAGTCGAACCATGATAGGGAAATAGAAACGGTAATATTCTTGATTAAAAAACAATATTAGAAAATCCTCAGCACTTTGCATAAACAATCATTAAAAAGACAAATCTGGAGTGTAAATAAATAAAGTCCAAACTACTGTTCCGGGAACAATAACCATTCCATTTCGCTTTATCGTGTCTCGCAAATGACAATGTTAAGTACCAGAATGTAAAAACAGCATTCACTAGAAGTCTTGAATGCATCTGCTATTTGGAATTCTTGTGCTGTGCCTGCCTTGGACAGCAAACTAAATAAAGATGTTTACTGACAGGCTAATGAACAAATGGGTCCTCTTGATTTAACCTTGATGAATGGTTCATCCAGGTGTTTTCAATAATGACAATAAGCACTGCAAGCCACAGGCCTTCTGATACAAGTATAATGCATTATTAGGCCATTAGAGGCTGAGTATGGAAGCCCACTTACGCTCTGCCCTATCAATAATGTTGTGTCCCAGTCTACATTTAGGCCAGGGGAATTAGTCATACTGATATTCTATTTAATAAAAAATCACAAGAAGACGCATAAAGAATCTCATTACATTTTAACAGGGTTACAGTAGCCCGGGAGGACCACAAGTTTAATTTTCATAAGAGCATCCATTCTTCAATTATGTCAAGCAGAAAATGTAAATAGCAAATGGAATGCTAACAATATCTCTACAAGCACATTGGCAGATGGAAGCCATTATGTGGAGCGAAAGCCGAGTTGAGGAGTTGGAGAAGTGTGCAGCTGAGAGCTGGCCACTGTTGCTAAACGTTGGCTTAAAAATCCCCGACACACACACACACACACACACACACACACACACACACACACACACACACCCCACACACCGTTATTCTTGACAGTAAATCACAGTGGGATTTCAAGAGTTACAGTATGGAATGCCGGGCATTAAGCATTCGTTTCCAAAAGTACAAAATGACGAAATGATTGTTGGGGCAAGAGCAAGGACATACAGTACCAAGGATGTCACCATTATCCAAGCTGGGGATTGGAGACCATATGAGAATTAAGTAGCTAGGAGTAATTTGGGTAAACTAGTGAGATTGAACTCCTTGGCAAACTGTGCCATGATTCTACACGGAGCGATCTCTCCACCTGGCACTCCAAGTTTGACTCCCCCTTACAGGCTTCTTGACTCCTTGCTTCTGGCACTGCTGTCTTCCTCTGGCTGTGCTGAGCTGTGTAACAGATTGTGCTCTTCCACAAGGAGAGAGTCCCTCTCAGATGCCCCTCTGGATAGTGCAGATTTTGGAATTGATCTAAATCTACTCTGTAAAAGAACTGGCATTACAGTATAAGCCTTACTTGTCAGTGTTCTGTTATTCCTAACACGGCTTCTCATTGTTATTTTATAGTATTCCCTCAAAATATCACATTTCTATGTATTGTAGGGTTTACGTAGGTGTATATATAGAGGTGTAACAGCACACATACAGATGTACCTGTAGATCAAAGATTTGAAAGTGAAGAATTCTGAGCACAAGAAATGAGGTGGGAAGAGTGGTCTTCTTTTAACTTGTTTTTTTTCCTCTTGTTTTTCTTTTCTCCTTCGTGAAACGTGGTCCTGTTGCTGCCGTTGGGATGTGGACACTGCAACGATTTAAGAGTTTCTTTCTGAGTGACAAGCATCTGTCGGCACTCTCACAGACCTCTGGACTTACGGACAGCTTCCCACAGAAATGTCCAGAACAATATTGGCATGTGACTATCAGCACTAAGCCCCCAGGCATCCTATAATAATAAACAGGTAATTGAAAGCTCAGCTCAGTACGTGCTGTTAGCAGGGAGCAGAGCTGCTGAAAGATTGCTGCACCATTTGGTGTTACAAAGGTGTTGAAAGAAGCTATTATATTAGTTAGTCTGTACCTGTAAGGAGAATTAATATTAACTTCTTTTTTGAAGTTTCTTTGCTAAGAAGCACAGCGGCCTACAGATACTTTAAACTGTGTAGGGGTGTGTTTCCAGATTTAGTTTTACTGCTCTCCACAGTCTCTTCTTTAAACACATACATTCTCTAGGTTTAGATATTGAAAACTTGTGTTAAAAAAAAGGTTAATTTTCTTATGCTAACTCATAACGACAGCTTAAATAATGTATTGTTTTTTTATCTTGGAAGCTTTAATGTTAACCTAATAAATAGCGACCCCCCCCACTACACATAAAAGCACAAAATAACAAAAAATAACTTAATAACTTAAAATACTGTGCTCACACACATTTCTACATCAAACTGACTGGTAGATTATAAGGGACGGTTTTCCTATGTACCACAATTCCCATGTATACTGATCCAGAAATTCAACCTGGAATTGTTCTGAATATATTTATGAAGTCCCTGTCTGGACATTCAGAATTTCTGCAGAAGGCTGGTTAAGAGACCAAGCTGTGTGTTTGGTAAAGCCTGACATTTGACCTTAATTGCTGTTAATTAGCAGAAAGGAGCACGTGGCCTCTTTCTTTTACGGTTCATTGTTCAGCTGCTGAAAGATTCAGCCAGATCAATTAAAGGGAATTAAGGTTACATTTTTTTTTTCAGGAAAGTAAAAAAATAAACTTAGCTGACAGCCCATATTAAAAAATGTACAAAAATGTATCACTTCATTAAGAATGGGGGGGGTGGTGATTAGGGCTTTGGACTTATTTCTGGAAAGTTGGGGGTTTAAATCTCACTTGGTGCTCTGCTGAGTGCCCAAAAACAAAACATGCTACTCGGGTTGCTCCAGTAAAAAAATGATTTGCAGTATAACAGAGTAACTCTCCGGGTCATCATTGCAAATACATTTTTGTTCTCAATTGACTTGCCTGATTCAATGACAGATCAATTCTAAAATCTACAATCTGAAGCAAGAAGTTATCTTCAGTACAGAAGTATTTTTAAATATAATTATTATTGGTCTTGCAAAAAATTCAATGTGGTTAATCAATTGATACCCTCAGAAAACCTTTTTCTGCCTCTTCTTTTTCAATCAATGTATTTTACCATTATTCTGCCTGTAACTTTCCTGAGGTGTGCGATTTTCATCGTGTAGAAATCAGCGGCCGAAACACAGAATATTCAGAAATTAGCACACGGAGCTCTGGAGTGGGAGGAAAGTGATGTGCAAGTTTGTGCTTCGACTTGGCAGCTTTTGGGTCACGAATTTGGTTCCGGATCCTGTGAAGTTTCCATGTTCTCTTCTAAGTTCGCATGGATTCTTGTTGTGTTCTGGTTTCAGCTCTGGTCAGTAGATGAGCTGGTGTCTCTAGATTGAGTGTGTGTCCTCCTATGCACTAATGTCACAACCCTCCGCCCTGTGCCCTGTCCCTCCAGGAGAGACTCTGTAGTCCTTACCAGGAATGAGTGTCTTTCTGATAAATGACGGGTTACAAAGTATTTTATCTACACTTGTAACAGATGTAATAGATATGCCTGTAATTCAAATTGTTAACTACAGGAAGGATGGTGCAAATATTTATACCATGATTTACTACACAGCTCCGCAGCACAATTCATTCAATCTGAAAATGGATTAACTGCATAACCATATTGAAAGTTATTATCCACCCACCTAATTCTTGAATGCGTTGTGTGTATTAGATGATGGTGTACTGTATTGAGTACACTGTTAATTAGAGTATTTAATGCATGCATATTTTGAAGTGTATCCAGTCTGTTCACGATCAATGGGCATTGATTTATATGAGTCACTAAGACTCTGTGCTTTCTTTTCTTTAATTATTTCTGCTCAGTCTACCTGCCTTAAATATTATAATTGACAGGGTTACATTGTCCCCATGCCTTAATTAAATCAGAGACGACTGCAGACAAGGAGACAAGTCACCATCCTTGGCTCATGGTATTCTTTATGCGACACAGATCCTTGCTTTTTTCACTGGTTTCTAGAGGATGCATCGCACACAAAAAATGCATTGCAAGGATACTTTGATTAACTTGCCCTTTAAAAAGGGAGACAACCGGAATAGATGTTACAATATTGGTAATCAGTCCCCGTCCAGAGATGAGCCTCTTTCACTAAAAACTTCTTATAGTAGAGCAAAAAGTGAATGGGTCTCTTGAACAAAATATTGTTCTTTTCAAAACACCCCTTCAAAGAAGCCCTTGTCATTAAATTACATAAAACATAGACCACATTTTTTCCAACGTCTCAACTGCGTCTTTTTTGTCATGCTTGGTGTGTCCTTACTTTTTCTTATAATTTTATAATACCTGCAGAATCACAGAGATTAAACTTGGAAGTGCTGACAGGTGACAGAAAGCTTCTTCAAGTGTGTAAGCGGCTCAAAAGAAGTCATACACCATGGGTTTTCCATTTAGTCTTGGCCAGTTCCAGCACTGTACGCTAATTAAAATAATTGGCCTTCCAGATTCCTCCAATACTGGATCAGGTATATCTGTCAGTAAGAGGCTTAGCAAAATATTTCTCGGAATTAGTGAGTAACCAGGACTGAAGTGGCTGAAATTTCAATATCCTCGTCTCCTCTCTTCGGTTTTAAAATTTCGCCATCTTATCTAGCCTAACAGTATGGCATACCATAACTAGGCTGCATTGATCCAGCTATGTTCCTGACACAGTAAACTGAAGGACAAGGATTTAGTGCTAAACCCCCAAAAGGGGTTCAAACAAAAATCAGTAGTGCTCCATGCAGTCCACCAGATCTTGACCCATGACTGGAAGCGCTGGTTATACAGCCTTTACTGAGCACACTTCATTTTGAGCATGAACTTTCAAAATCATAACAAACTGTTTAAGTATACGTGAGAATTACACAACTGCACTTCTGCTTTCTAAAAGGTGACATATACTAATTAAATCAGATGCCAGATACTGCACATCAGCATGAACAGTTTTGTCATATTATTGTAAATGTGAAATATTTCACATGCTGTTTTTACTTTGTTATAAATATATCGGTACTAAGTGCCTACGGTATCTGTAATGATTCGTTAAAAAGAACAGATCGAAAATTAATATTTCTTTTAGTATTCATGTTCAAAAATGGATTACTAATTATTCTATAG